ATTTCAGTGTTACAGCCCAGATTAAAAAACAATTTCTTAAATGTATGATCTGACAAAATAATCGGGTATTACAGGAGAAGAACTTACAAACGGAATAATAATTTTATCAATACTTATGTGGCTGCAGTTTATTTATGCATTGTAATTTATTTTAATGTATTTATCTACGTGAAGTGACATCAGCTCCATGCTTTGGTGGTGGTAACGAGGGTGTCTTACCCTCTGAGGTCTGCTACAAGGATCTGCCCTCCATTTCTGACATCAAAGATTTTTACAGTGCGGTCGGAGGAGCAGGTGGCGAGTCGAGTACCGTAGTAATCCATCTGGGCGTCGTGCTAAAACAGACAGAACAAGACATGAAATGAGAAAACTATCTCACACTCTACCTTTCCTTCCCAGCAAGACTGACACTATCAGCTAAATAATCCAAGACTGCAGCATGTTCATAAGAAGTATTTAACACAATGAACTGCTGAACAGTTCCAATCCACAGTTTCTATGTTATTAACCAACTTCTACTTCAGTCCTCTGATGCACTGTGTTGAAATGTTGGTTTGTTGGACCACCTCCTTGGCTTTAGCCATCATAACAAAAGTGTGACACAACCAGTAAAACCACACTACATCTGTAAATCATAAAAAAACAGTGGTGAATCTAACTACATTGGCCCTTGTGCTGTACTACTTATGTATACATTTGAGGTACTTCTGCAATACTTAATTATTTCTTTTCATGCCACTTTATACTTCTACTCATTTCAGAGGTAATTACTGTAATTTCTATTCCACTATTTTCGTCTGACAGCTTTGGTTACTTTAAAAAATTAATGTATTTGCACACAAAACATACATAAACCTTGTAAAATATTGTGTTTGTTATAAAATGAACTACCTAACAGTTTATACAAGTACAGCTGAAACGATTAGTGGACTTAGAGAAAATTAACTGGAAACAATTTTAATGGCTGATGTAATTTTTAATTAAAAACAATTTCTGGTTCCAGCTTCACAAATGTGAAGATTTGCAGCTTCTCCTTTTGTTAGGTTAATAACTGTTATATATTAGTGATAATGTTGAGGTGTGGACTGTTGGCTGGACCAAACAAACATTGAGAAGGTGTCACTTTGGGCTCTCGATCACTGTGATGCCAACTGTCACTATTTACACGATTTTGACAAATTAAACAATCAATTAATGGAGAAAATAATCAGTTTTCATCTATAATAAAAATAATAATGAGCTAATAGTAATGAGTTCCACCTCAACAAACTACAACAGTAAAATCCTGCTTTTAGAAAAACGCATGGGTCATAATAATCTAATGACTTTAAATATAAAATTGGACAGTCATGGGGACCTTGTAAGACTTTCCTAGATTAACTATATTTGCTTGATAATGTTGACAGTATTATTACAGGGTGGTATTAGGACTTTTAAAGAATCTGAACACTTCCTCCACCCCTATGTGTTAATACTGACATGATACCTGTAGCCACTATGCATGTTTCACCGTATAGTCACCTGATCCTTACCCTACAATAATGTCACGTTACAGTGAAAACACTGTCTGATAAAAATGCAACATATAAACATACATATATGTATTTCTGGAACCTGCTAAAGCTACATTCAATCAACCCTGCTTCTTTAGTGAATGCTAACGTTAGCTTCAATGCTCAGCGACAGTTAAATGAAAAATAATGAAAACTTACGATCATGTCCTCGTGAGAGGTGTCCACCGTGTTAATAACGGAAACCTGAAATTCACAAACACATAAAGCAGCATTAAAATTAAACAGGAATTAAGATATTCACAATAAGGATTAGCTTTCTGTCATTAGCCTGTCTGCTAACGAGCTAACCACTGGGGCACGTCAGCAAAACAAACGGTCACCGTTAAACACAAACGTTAGCGAACAGCTTCACTTACAGCTTGAATATAAAGTTATCACACTCACCATGACTGCGGTTAAACCAGAAAACACTACAGAAAATGATTTCTTATATTCCTCTAAATGAATAAGTCAGGTTCAACAACTACTCCGACGTGGCAACAAGCACAGAAGCCGCTTCCCACCGGGTCCGTCAACTGTTTCTACCGGCGGAAACGGCCAAGCCGCTAAACAAAAGTTCCACATAGCAAACGTTTACTTCGTATTCCATTAAGATCCCCCAATAAATTGAGAGAAGAAGAAGAAGAAAGAAAGAAAAAAGAAGAAGAAGAAGAAGAAGGAAAGCAAGAGAAAATACGAAAAGGCAGAATGTAGAATATCTAGAGAGCAATAAAGCTCAAGAAAATACGTTAAACTCTTTGTTTACACTTGATGAAATGAAAAGAGCAATTATGAAAGCAAAAATTACCTCTCCAGGAAAAGATAAAATAAGTTATGCAATTCTGAAACATTTAAATGATGATACATTAATGTTTATATTGGAATTATTCTACAAGATATGGACTGAGGGAAAGCTTCCAAATGGTTGGAAATTAGCAGTGATAGTTCCAATCAAGAAACCAGGGAAAGAGTCAGGCAAAGCAACAAACTATCGACCTATTGCCTTAACTTCCCATTTAGGGAAGATAGTGGAAAGAATGATAGTAGAAAGACTAACATATTACTTAGAGGTACGGAATTTGATATCAAAATACCAAAGTGGTTTCAGGAAAGGGAGGAGTACGATGGACCCAATAATAAATCTAGAGTCAGAAATTAGAAATGCACAAACTAATAAAGAAATAGTTGCTGCAGTCTTCTTTGACGTAGAAAAAGCTTATGATATGTTATGGAAAGAGGGAGTATTGATAAAAATTAGAGGGAAACATGTTTAATTGGATCAAAGATTTTCTAAATAACAGGAAAATAAAGGTAAGAATAAATAAAAGTTTTTGTTTAGTTGTTTAGTTTAGTGCTTGCCGGTAGAGAATGGAGTACCTCAAGGAAGTGTGATTAGTCCAGTTTTATTTTCTATCATGATAAATGATATATATAGTTCAGTTGCAAGTGATGTAGGAAGATCTCTTTTTGCTGATGATGGAGTATTATGGAAACGGGGGAAAAATGTAAAATACATTGTGAAGACTTTACAAAGAGAAATTGATAATGTAGAGTCATGGTCTATGAAATGGGGATTCAGATTTTCAGGGGAGAAAACCAAAGCTATATTCTTTACCAAAAAGAAAATACAACAGGAATTTAAGTTCAAAATATATGGGAAAACTTTAGAAAGGGTGAATGTGATAAAGTTTTTAGGAATGTGGTTTGATTCCAAACTTACATGGCAGGTGCATATAGGTAAGACAATTGAGAAGTGAAAAAAGTATTAAATGTAATTAGAAGTGTAGGAAGTAGAGAGTGGGGAGCTGATAAGAAAACAATGAAAATGCTATATATAGGGTTAATAAGATCAACATTGGACTATGGATGTATAGCATATGGATCTGCATCTAAATACATCTGGATAAAATAGAAATAATACAAAGTGCAGCTTTAAGGATATGTTGCAGGGCTTGTAAGTCTACCCCAATCCCTGCATTGCAAGTTGAAATGGGAGAATTGCCAATAGATTTAAGAAGACTTCAAATAAGTTTGGTATAATGGGTAAATTTAAAAGGACATAAAGAAGATCATCCGACAAGGAGGGCTCTGGAACCATCATGGGAGCATAGTCACAGTAAGCAAAAATGTATAGGATGGACATTAGAGGAAGAAGCAAGGAAGTTAGGGATAACAGGCAAAGACTTTTGTTCAGCTGCAGCGTTTCCACATATCCCTCCATGGTTGTCACCAGGAGCGGAGGTAGATATATCATTGAAAACAAAAATTAAGAAGAGTAAAAATTGTGGAGAGATGACTACAATGCATCTAGATAACTATTATGGATATATTAAAAATTTTACAGATGGATCAAAAGGTCCAGAAACAGGTCAGGTAGGTGCAGCTTATGTGATACCTGAATTAGAATTAAAGAAAGCTGTAAGGATAAGTAATGGTGTATCAGTGTTTACTGCCGGAACAAAAACAGTTTGAGGATCGCACACAGATATGTCCGTCAGTGTTTACTGCCGAAATTGTTGCAATAATTCTAGCATTGCAATGGGTTGAGGAAATAAAACCATTAAGAGCCATAATATGCACAGACTCATTGTCAGCATTGGAAAATATGCAATCAGTCATTTCAGGTTGCAGACAGGACTTTATATATGACATATTTGTGTTACTTTTTAAAATTCAAAGATTAGGGTTGCATGTAAAATTAGTTTGGGTACCAGCACATGTAGGAGTGCAAGGAAATGAACTTGCAGACATTTATGCAAAGAAAGCTCTTAAATATGATAAAATTACAGCAACAACTAAGATGAGTAAAGCAGAAACTAAGACTTTAATAAAGCAAGAAATCAAGAATATATGGCAGAAATGTTGGAATAATGAAAGGAAAGGAAGAGATCTGTTTTTTATAAACCCCTCTGTAGGGGGACTGAGACAGGGAGGCAGGAACAGGAGGGAGGAGGTTATTTTATCAAGGTTAAGATTAGGACACACAGGACTAAGTAAAACGTTATTTGTGATAGGGAAACACAGAAACGGAGAGTGCAGTGTTTGTAATGAGGAAGAAAGTGTTAAACATATTTTTATGAAATGTAAAAAGTATGAAAGGGAAAGAGAAAAATTAAAAAGAAATATTGAGGAAATAGGGATGAAATTTAGCATAAAAGAAATATTAGATAAGCCCTCGACAGATAGAATAATGAGTAGAGTATTTGGGTATCTTAGAAGTACAGGACTAGATAAACGGGTATGAGTGTTTGTTTGTTTTTTGTTTTGTTTTTTTCCCTTTTATTGTGCAAAATGTAGTCTGTAAGCCTATACAGTAATCACACACACCGAAGGGTGGCGGTAATGCACTATCATAGTTTGCTACTGCCGTTAAAAAATGAGAAGAAGAAGAAGAAGAAGTAAACAAGAAAAAGGCGTCAGTCGCGTTTCCCAAATGATTGAGTTCTCTTCTGGAGGTTAATCTATGAGTTAAACCTCGAGCCACATTTACTGTAGCCTACATTAGACAACAATGTGTTCAGTTGAGTCTTTGAGAGAGTTTGTCAACGAGCGACTAACTGCTGCTGCTGAAGAAATATTGGGAGTTTTTAAAAGAAGCATCGTCGAGTACGAGGAAGAGATCGATCGTCAGCGCAGACTGTTGGATATCGTTTTGAAGCCTGAAATAAAGTTACACAGGACAGGTGTGTAAAGTTGAATTAGGACATATTTACTGTGGTGTGTGTATATTTGCTGTAGCATGACATTAGTATGCTGTTGGTGTTGTTGTGTGTCCCTCCAGAGCTCCCACAGCAACATGTGTGTAAGGAGGAGGAGGTTGTCCCTGAGCAGCAGCTCTGTATTGAGGAGAGGAAGTCCAGTGTGGACCAAGAGGAGCCAGAGCCTCCACAGATTAAAGAGGAAGAGGAGGAAGTGTGCAGCAGTCAGGAGGGAGAGCAGCTTGTAGTGAAGCAGGAGACTGATGGCTTCATGTTGACTCCTGCTGATGAGGAAAGTGAGCAGAGTGAAGATCAGACTCTGGACTTCATTCATGATGACACTCAAAGTGCAGCAGAGAAAGAGTCTGTTGTCATTATACCAGTTATAAGCTCTGTGATACCAACCAGTGAGCACCAGCTGCTCTGTCACAACTCTGATGTAGCTGAGAGCCAAGATGAGGAAGAATACCAGCATGGAGACTCAGGATCAACTAGAAACACAGAGCTTCAAGCAGAGAAAAGACATCATGAAAGTGAAATGAACAGTAACAGTCCACACACCTCTGCTGTGATAAACTTAAATACAGGTAAAAAGCCTTTAAAATGTGACATATGTGGGAAAGGTTTTGAGCGCAAGTCAAAATTGCAGAGACACCTGAACAGCCACACAGGTGAGAAGCCGTTTTCTTGCAAAACATGTGGGAAAAGCTACAGTGACACATCAGCATTGAGCACTCATATAAGAACCCACACAGGTGAGAAGCCGTTTTCTTGCAAAACATGCGGGAAAAGATTCAGTCAGAAGTCAGGATTGGAAAGGCACATGACAATCCACACAGGTGAGAAGCCGTTTTCTTGCAAAACATGTGGGAAAAGATTCAGTGACACATCAGCATTGAGCGCTCATATAAGAACCCACACAGGTGATAAGCCCTACCTTTGCAAGACCTGCGGGACAAGATTCAGTCAGAAGTCAGGACTGGAAAGGCACATGACAATCCACACAGGTGAGAAACCGTATACATGTAAAGTATGTGGGAGAGCTTTCGGACGTAATGATGTCTTGTTAGGCCACATGAGGACTCATTCAGGGGAGAAGCCGTATACTTGTAAAGTATGTGGGAGAGCTTTCAGACGTAATGGTGACTTGAAAGTCCACATGAGAATCCACACAGGTGAGAGGCCATGCCTTTGCAAGACCTGCGGGAAAAGATTCAGGGATGTGTCCACATTGACAAAGCACATGAGAGTCCACACAGGAGAGAAGCTGTATACATGCAAAACGCGTGGGAGAGGTTTTACAGGGAAACATTGCCTGATTAGCCACATGAGAAACCACACAGGTGAGAAGCCGTATACTTGTAAAGTTTGTGGGAGAGCTTTCAGACGTAATGCTGACTTGTTAGGCCACATGAGGACTCATTCAGGGGAGAAGCCGTATACTTGTAAAGTTTGTGGGAGAGCTTTCGGACGTAGTGATGTCTTGTTAGTCCACATGAGGACTCATTCAGGGGAGAAGCCGTATACTTGCAAAACATGTGGGATACATTTCAGATTTAGCAGTAACTTGACATTCCACATGAGAACTCACACAGGTGTAAAGGTGCATCACTTGAGCACAGAGGTTCCAGTTGAAGTCACACATATACAGGAGAGAGACTGTTTACATGCAAAACATGTGGCAGAGCTTTCAGAGGCCTGTTCCATAAAGCATGCTAAGAAAAGTGGGGAGTGAAGTCCAAATCCTGAATTTTTATTGAAATTGCAGGTCTGGAAAAGTTAAACTAGTGAGATAAAGAACAAAAGGAGGAGACTGCTTTAAAG